GTGATAAATATAACTAATGTCACTGAAAAATTTGCGTGGAAATTGTCAAATAGGAACCGAACTTGACATATAAACTTTCACCAAAAAATCAATAAAATATCATTTTTAAAAACGTGATGCACGAAGGAAATATTAGAACTTTTACTTCTATTTAGATCTAAAAATAATTTTTTAAAAATTAAGCCTTGCTCGTACTTTAACACACAGATTAACACCAAAGCCCTCACTCTGTCCATGAGTACTATCTGAAAGCAAAATGGGGAATTTCTCATCCAAGAGGGGTATTCAGTGGTACTGTGTTCACTTTCACCAACAGGACTGAACATAATACAAATAATGAAAGTACAAGTGAACAATAAAATAATGACAGAGCCATTTTCCTCTCTCATAGTATGACTACTTCTTCCTCAGCTACCTTTTAAAAGGTTAAAAACAGATGACCTAATTACACCAAAGAAGTCAACCAAAAGACAACTAAAAATTTTTAGAACTCTTTAAATACGGATTTATACTTTAGAACTGTAAATGTTGAAATTTGCCCCGAGTGTACATTATAGTTGAGAAGAAAGCTAACAATAATATGAAGCCATCTGTCATGGATTGAACTGTTTTCCCCCAAAATACATGTCAATTTGGTTAGGTCATGATTCCCAGTATTGTATGATTGTCTACCATTTTGTCATCTGACATGATTTCCCTATGTGTTGTAAATTCTATCAATATGATGTTAATGAGATGGGTTGTCAGCAGTTATATCGATGAGATCTACAAGATTAGATAGTGTCTTAAGTCAATCTCTTTTGAGATATAAAAGCGAGAAGCAAGCAGAGGGACATGGGGACCACATACCACCAAGAATGCAGCACCAGGAGCAGAGTACGTCCTTTGGACCTGGGGTTCCTGTGTGGAGAAGCTCCTCGACCAGGGGAAGATTGATGACAAGGACCTTCCTCCAAAGCCAACAGAGACAGAAAGGCTTCCACTGGAGGTGACACCCTGAATTTGGACTTGTAACCTACTAGAGAATAAATTTCTCTTTGTTAAAGCCATCTACTTGTGGTATTTCTGTTACAGCAGCACTAGATGACTAAGACACCATCAGAATAAGATATTTCAAACTAAGCATCCAAAACAAAAACAAACTTTCATCAATAGGACCATGCAGTAATTCAATCTAATACTGGACAAAATTTCACTGAACTTAAGGAAACATGTCTTGTTTTTGCCAAGGTTAAAAAATACCATGGCAAAAGTAAAATTCATTCTTTATTAGCAAATGCTGTTAGAAGATGTAAAGAAATCATTGCTAAAGATTTAAAGAAATAAATATGACAAATTATACAGGGGAGTGATTTGCAATATAACTGAATGAAAGTACAAATGTTTCATGATATTTTTAAGATTCTGTATCAATAATAAAATATTTGAAGAAGTGTTTTTTGTTTATAAAGATATTTTCTCAATGGTAAATGGCTTCTTGGATTAAAAAAACAGCATTTTAGGGAAAAACTGCTTTTTGGATTGGGAGTAAGTGACATAGAGGGCACCACATGAGAAATCCAGTCACCACATATTCAAAGGTGAGCTGCTGCCAAGAGAAGAAGCTAAGGCCGGTGTTAAGTATTAACTAAAAATTAATGGCCACTTGTGTTAGGTACAAAAACCTTTTCTTTTTTTTTGGCTTTAACCAACAGGAATTTATTTTCTCGTAGTTCAGGAGGTTAGAAGTCCAAATTCAGGGCACAGACTCTAGGAGAAGGATCTCTATCAGCTGTAGGAGAAAATCCTTGTCTTAGCTTCTATAGCCCCAGTGTTTTTCAGTTCCTTGGTGATCTCTCTTCTGTCTTTCCCCTATTTGTCCTTTCGTCTCTATGCCTAATCTGCCCACCTGCCTTTTTTTGATTGTGCTTTAGATGAAAGTTTATAGAGCAAATCAGTTTCCCATTCGATAACCTGTTGCCATCAAGTGGGATTCTGACTTTTAGTGACCCTACAGGCAGAGTAGAACTACCCCATAGGGTTTTCAAGGTGCAGCTGGTGGATTCAAAGTGCAGACCTTTTGACACTGGTTTCATTCCCCACAATGTGTCAGCACTCCACATTTCTGCCCTGGGCTCCCTGTTTTCTTTCGTCTGGATTTTCTACCCCTTCCTGCCTTCTCATCTTTGCTTTTGGGCAAATGTCCTTTTGATCTCGTATAATTGATTATTCCTCTGGGGTGTTATTGTTTATTTTATAGGCCTGTCTGTTGTTTGGCTAAAAGGTGGCCTCTGGGAATAGCTTCAGTTCCAGGTCAGAAGGGAATCTTACAGCCATAGTCTCGGGGGTTCTTTCAGTCTCTGTTAGACCAGTGAGCCTGGTCTGTTTTGTGGATTTGATTTTTTGATCTACATTTTTCTTCCACTCTGTCTGGGACCCTCTGTTGTGATCCCAGTCAGAGCGGTGAAAAAACCTTTTTGAGAATAAATCACGGTGGCCATTTGTGCCAGGTACAAACCTTGACAGAACAATAGAGAATTTTTAAAGTGTTCTAACTGGAAAAACTTTTTGAAAATAACAACTTGACAGTTAAAAATGTCTCTGACTCAACATACGAAACTCCACCAATTCCCAACAGACAAGTATACTTACAAAACCAATGACAGAAAGATCCCCGCTTTGTAAGACCCTTCCTTTGATTAAAGACTTATCTAAGAGCCAATCATTACAACTTCTCTTCTGGAAATCTCCGAACTCCCTTTGAAAACCCTGTGTTTGAGCTGCTTAAGCAAACACCTTACAATTTTCTGCTTGGATGCTCCCTGTTCTGGAACAGCTTCTCGCCTCAATAAACTCTGTTAACTCTAATTGACTTGTTAATCAAATTTTCCTTTTTGACAATTCTGATGTCAGAAGTGGAATCCAGAGAAGACCCCAGACAGACCCCATGGCTGGTGAGTGATAGGTGCTGGTACCCAGAGGACTCCTTATGTCTGCTGATGCCTCGCCAACCCCAGAGTCCAAGGGGCAAGTCTCTCCTGGATCTGAGTTCCCCTCCCTTGTGTTTTGAGCCCCTGGGTTTATCAATGCCACCCAGGCTAGGCCCAACTTAGCCTTAGAGCCCAGCCATCATCTTGGTGAGTCACCCTTTTGTTCTGTCTATTTGAGGTAAGGTACATGAATCCCTGTGCCTTCAGACAGCCATTTAATGGAGGCATCAGTTTATATATTGTTGTCTTAGAGATTCTAAGCATGGGCTCCTCCTGCTCTAAATCTCTTTCTCTTCCCTCTCCTAAAATCCTGCTTCTCACATTTCTTTTTCACTCTGAAGCTGCATTTTGTAGTTTCTTGGAAGTGGGCTAACTATACCAAGAATGACTTGAATTTGTAGTGGCCACTCTGGGAAGCTGGGTTCCCATTTGCTTTGTCTTTTTCATTCTGGAGTTGCATATTGTAGTTTCTTGGAAGCAGACTGACTATACCAAGAATGACTTGAATTTGTAGTGACTACTTTGGGGAACCAGGTTCCCACTTGCTTTCTCTTTTTCATCTTTGTTTGCTGTCTTTTGTGTTACTGTTTTCTATTTTCAAATAATTTTATTGTACCAGTTACTATGGATACAGACAGTTCCTCAAGGAACTTACAACCTTGCAAATTTTATAACAGAATAATTATGCTATAATAATGTAGTGTTATAATAGGGGTATATAAAGGTAATATTTAAATAATCCTATGCTATAAAAATTGAATTCTATAATATAAAAAAAGTGAGTATATGATTCCATAGAAGATGTAGAGAAATCATTGCTGAAGATTTAAAGAAATAAATATGACAAATTATACAGGGGAGTAATTTGCTATATAATTGAGTGAAAGTGCAAATGTTTCATGTTTTAAGATTCTATATCAATAGTAAAATATTTGAAGAAGTGTTTTTTGTTTATAAGATATTTTCTCAATGGTAAATGGCTTCTTGGATAAAAAAAACAAAAAACAGCATCTTACAGAAAAACTGCTTTTTGGATAAACCCCTAGTGGTGTAACTGAGTAACTGCCAAAGAAGGGGTTAATGTAGCAGCACAATAAGACACCAACAGTGCTGGAATGTTCTTTGTTACTTCATTCAACAAATATTTATTTAGTCCTGCTATGTGACAGGTACTCTGCTACCCTTTTTCTTCTTCATTTTAGTTGTCTCCCAAGTCAAGGAATTTCTCCCAAGCCTAAGAAGCCCCTGGCTTAACATATTTGCTCCCCTCCTCTTGGTGTCTGAATGTTACAAAATTCTAATAGAACTGCAATATAATGTAATGCCTCGTCAGCAGTATTCCCACATAACATGATGGTCTCTGCCTTTCAAATTCCACACTTGGGCAATATTAAAAAAATTAAATTAGCTTCATCAATTAACTAAAACCAAACCCACTGCTGTTGAGTTGATTCTGACTCATAGCTGTATCACTAGGTAATATCAAATATTTGCATATTAAGTTTATTTTTAATAAGAGATTCTTGTGTGGACTTAGATTATAATTAATAATATAGGAAGTGGAAGTAAATGTAGAAAACTAAAACAGTCTTCAGAAATTATTATTTCAGGTTTAAAAGTCCATAGATTCAGTGCTTCAGAAATGTAGGACAATTCAATTTGTTCTAGTAATAATAATAGACCAATAGTATTGGGCATCTTCTGTTTTCTCCTAGTAGCATGTTTCTGCCATCCTGTCAGTCAGTCTAGGTACCCACATAAATCCTTAAAAGGGTCATATCCCATATGAATACTATTGCGGAAAAAAAATTCAGTATACTCAAAAAAGAGTAAAGACAGTAATTAGAACTCAAAAACTTTTGATCATCTCCAAAACTCCAGTGAGAGGCAGGTGCATACAGCAGTTGAAAATCATCTGAGTAATTATTTTATAAGCTCTCATTTTGCCCTCCCAGCCTCCCTCTTCAATTTTATCCTTGAAAACCCTTAGCCAAGCAGCATACGACCTCAAAAACCCCTACAAGTACGTACATGGCGCTGAAGTTCAATGTTACCATTGTCAATTTCGTTGCCTATCTTCAAAAGCCATTGTTGAATCATTTTAAAAATATGCGCTTGGAGTACCCTGAAGGAAAAATCAAGTAAAATAAAGATAAGTGACTTACTTAGGGTATAAAAGTAATTATCAGCTAAAAGAAAAGGATTTATTTGGCTGGGACTAGAGAACTCAGGGCAAGGTGAATCAAAGCCCTGAATTATCTGGCATTACAGCTTACTCACTGCCACAGCCTTCCTAACCCCAAGTAAGTATCAACTGGCAATGATGCATTTCAGTCAATGTACATATTGCCTTCAATGTTAGCTCTCTCTCTACTGTAAAAACTTATACCCTTTGACCTCACTTCTAGGACAGTGGAGTCTATTCATACTGAGAAGAAGGAATTTTAAGATTCTCTCAAGAGATTGACTTCTGGCATGGCAGCATGAGGAGCTCTGCTGACCTGTTCCCCAGTGAAACTGGGGAAAATTATTTTTGAAAAAAAAACCATTTGTCTTAAAAGCTAGCAAGCGGCCATCTAAGATGTATCAATTGGTCCTGACCCACCTGGAGTACAGGAGAATGAAGAACACCAAAGACACAAGGAAAATATTAGCCCCAAGAGACAGAAAGGGCCACATAAACCACAGACTCCATCAGCCTGAGACCAGAAGAACTAGATGGTGCCCGGCTACCACCAATGACTGCCCTGACAGGGAACACAACAGAGAGTCCCTGATGGAGCAGGAGACAAGTGGGGTACAGAACTCAAATTCTAGTAAAAATACCAGACTTAATGGTTTGACTGAGACTGGAGGGACCCAGGAAGACACGGCCCCCAGACTCTCTGTTGGCCCAGAGCTGAAACCATTTCCAAGGCAAATTCTTCAGACAAAGACTAGACTGGACTATGGGACATAAAGTGACACTCGTGAGGAATGTGCTTCTTAGCTCAAGCAGATACATGAAACTACATGGGCAGCTCCTGTCCAGAGGCAAGATCAGAAGGCAGAGAGGATCAGGAGCTGGTTGAATGGACATGGGAAATCAGGGGTGGAAAGGAGGAGTATGCTGTCACAGTATATGGACAGCAACTAGGGTCACATAGCAATGTGTGTATAAATTTTTGTATGAGAAACTGACTTGAATTGTAAACTTTCACTTAAAGCACAATTAAAAAAAAAAAGAAAGAAAAAACCAACCATTTAAAGCCTCTGAAAATGATCTTAAGGGCAAACAGCAAAGGAAAAACATTTATTCAAAAACAAATCTATGATGATTCAAAAAAACAGACTATGGTAATTGAACCAAGACTGTTCCCTCTATGGCCCTTCACCCACAGTAACTTGGAAACTCCATTCCAAACTGCTGCAGTCAAGAACACAGAGGTCCCTCTTCCTCCCAGCTCCCAGTAATAGAGCTTTCTTCTCAGGAGGAGCAGTTGTCAGTGTTCCTCATGCTGTCCCCAGCTACCTATTGCTGAGGCTAAGTCCCGGAAGAGCACAGTTGAGAGGCAGGGGATCCCTTTTTCCGCCCAGTCCCTATTCATGGAATGGAAACTCTATCTTGAGCACGGCACACTGAGAATACTAAGGACTTGACAGCTCTTCCCCGGACTGATGAGGCAGTAGTTCCATGCCAGGAGAGGCAAGCTGTGTGGACCTGAGGCTGCTGTCCTGCCCTTCAACCAAGCTCTCAGCTCCTAGAGTAGGGGTGTCACTCAGAAAGACACCCCTACTTGACACAGTCCCCGCTTCCAGCTCCACAGCCCTGTCTCAGAGATTTTGCCTGGAAAAAAACCAAACCAAACCAAACCATTGCTATCGAGTCGATTCTGACTCCTAGAAGCCATATAGGACAGAGAACTTCCCCATAGGGTTTCCAAAGCTGTCATCTTTCAGAAACAGACTGCCACATCTTTCTCCCGCAGAGTGATTGGTGGGTTCGAACCACCGATCTTTTGGTTAGCAGCCGAGCCCTTAACCACTGCACCACCAAGCTCCTTCTGGGGAGAGAAGTAGCCCATAAAACAGATAGCTCCCAATCTCTTCCTAAAGAAACTGACTTTATTTCCAGCAGAGTGTGGAGAACTTCAAACCTAAGAGTGCTTTCAAGAATAGTGGAGGTTGTGGTGAAGGCAATTGGGAGGAGATTTAACATACAGCCTAAAATACAGCCAGCTAGTTTTCAGGAGATAACCAGGGAATAAGACAGCTGGGTCTTTAAAAACAGAGGCTAGGCTATGGTATTTTCAACAAATGGTGGGTGCTAGGACAACTGGATAGCCACATGCGGAAGAATAAAGTTGGACCCTTTCCTCAACCAATACACAAAAATTAACTCAAATTGGATCAAAGATCTAAATGTAAGTACTAAAACTATGAAACTCTTAGAAAAATGACATAGGAGTAAATCTTCATGGCCTTGGATTTGGCAAAGGATTCTTATATATGACACCAAAAGCACAAGCAACAAAAGAAAAAAATACATAAATTGGAATTCATCAAAATTAAACACGTTTGTAATTTAAAGGACACAGTAAACAAAGTGAAAAGAACACCTACAGAATGAGAGACAATATTTTCAAACCATATATCTGATAAGGAACTTGTATCCCAGGCAGTGGTGGTTCAGTGTTACAATTCTTGCCTGCTATGTGAGAGGCCCAGGTTCGATTCCCAGCCAATGCACCTCAGGTGCAGCCACCACTCATCTGTCGATGGAGAGTTGTGTGTTTCTATGATGCTGAACAGGTTTCAGGAGACCTTCCAGATTAAGAAAGACTAGGAAGAAAGGCCTGGTGATCTACTTCAAAAAATCAGCAAATGAAAACCCTATGGATCACAATGAAAACTCTGTGGTCTGATCCTGTTGTGCATGTGGTCCACATGAGTCAGGGCTGGCATGACAGCAGCTAACAACAACAACATCCAGAATATATAAAGAACTCTTACAACTCAGTAATAAAAAGACAACACAACTGAAAATTGGCAGACGATCTAAATAGACGTTTCTCCAAGGCAGATACAGAAATGGTCAATTAGCACATGAAAAGATCCTTGACATCATTAGTCTTCAGGGAAATGTAAATCAAAACCACAACGACATACCACTTCACACTCAATAGGATGGCTAGAATAACTGTTGTTTTTAGGTGCCATTGAGTCAGTTCCAACTCATAGTGACCCTGTGTACAACAGAATGAAACACTGCCTGGTCCTGCACCATCTACACAATCATTGCTGTGCTTGAGCCCACTGTTGCAGCCACTGTGTCAATCCATCTCATTGAGAGTCTTCCTCTCTTTCGCCACCCCTCTACTTTACCAAGCATGATGTCCTTCTCTAGGGACTGGTCTCTCCAGATAACATGTCCAAAGTAAGTAAGATGAAACCTTACCATCCTCACTTCTAAGGAGCATTCTGGCTGTACTTTCAAGACAGATTTGTTCGTTCTTCTGGCAGTCCATGGTATATTCAATATTCTTCACCAACACCACAATTCAAAGGCATCAATTCTTCTTCCGTCTGCCTTTTCACGGTCCAGCTTTCGCATGCATATAACTGAAAATACCATGGCTTAGGTCAGGCGCACCTTAGTCCTCAAAGTGACATCTTTGCTTTTTAACACTTTAAAGAGATCTTTTGCAGAAGATTTGCCCAATGCAATACATCCTTTGATTTATTGACTGCTGCTTCCATGGGCGTTGATTGTGGATCCAAGTGAAATGAAATCCTTGAAAACTTCAATCTTTCTTCGTCTATCTTGATGTTGCTTATTGGTCTAGTTGTGAGGATTTCTGTTTTCTTTATGTTGAGGTGTAATCCTTACTAAGCTGTAGTCTTTGATCTTCATCAGTAAGTGCTTCAAGTTCTCTTTGCTTTCAGCAAGCAAGGTTGTGTCATCCGCACATCACAGGTTGTTAACAATCTTCCTGCAATCCTGACGCCATGTTCTTCTCCATATCATTCAGTTTCTCAGATTATTTGCTCAGCATACAGATTGAATAAGAATGGTGAAAGGATACAACCCCGACACAGACTTTTCCTGATTTAAAAACACACAATATCCCCTTGTTCTGTTCGAAGAATAACTGCCTCTTGGTCTATGTACAGGTTCCTCATGAGCACAATTAAGTGTTCTGGAATTCCCATTCTTCGCAGCAATGTTATACATAACTTGTTATGATCCACCCAGTCAAATGCCTTTGCATAGTCAATAAAACACAAGTAAACAACTTTCTGGTATTCTCTGCTTTTAGCCAAGATCCATCTGACATCAGCAATGATATCCCTCGTTCCATATCTTCTGAATCCGGCTTGAATTTCTGGCAGTTCCCTGTCAACGTACTGCTACAGCCTCTTTTGAATTATCTTCAGCAAAATTTTACTTGCGTGTGATAACAGAGTCAGATAATAACAAGTGTTGGTGAGGATGTGAGGAAATCAAAACCCTCAAATGTTGGTGGTGGGAATATAACATGGTGCAGTCACTTTGGAAAACAGTCTGGCAGTTCCTCAAACAAACATAGAGTTCATATGACTCAGCAATTCCACTTCAGTGCATACACCCAAGAGAAATGAAAACATATGTCCATACAAAAACTTGTGCACAAATGTTTATAGCAGTATTATTCACAATAGCCAAAGGATAGAAACAACCCTGTTATGGATTGAATTGTGTCCCCCAAAAATATGTGTTGAATTCCTGGCCCATGTACCTGTGGATGTGATCTTGTTTGGAAATAAGATTTTTCCCTTGTTATGTTAATGAGGTCATACCAGTGTAGGGTGGATTCTAAACCTAATGACTTCTGAGTTATAAAAAGACCAGAAGAGACACAGAGACACACAGATGAGGGAAGATAGATGCCATGTGAGGATCGTCAAGAAGCAAAGGAACTTCCAGCAACCAAGTAACACCCATGGCTACTGATATGGCCGTGAGCTTGATTTGGACTTCCAGCCTCCGGAACTGTGACAAAATAAATTTCTGTTCTTTAAAGTCACCCACTTTTGGCATTTGCGTTATAGCAGCACTAGGTAACTAAGACAAACCCAAACGTCCATCAACAGACGAACACATAAACAAAATGTGGTATGTCTGTACAATGGAATATTATTCAGCCATAAAAAGGAATGAAATACTGACACATGCTACAATATGAATGAACCTTGAAAGCATTATGCTAAATGAAAGAAGCCAGTCTCACACACACACAAAATCACATATTATATGATTCCTTTAATATAAATGTCCAGAACAGAGAAATCTACAAAGACAGAAAGTACATTAGTGGTTGCTTAAGGCTGGGTAGGGGATGGGAGGATAGGGGAGTGAGAGCTTAGGGAGGTCAGGTTTCTTTTTGAGGAGATGCAAATGTTCTAAAATTGACTATGATGATAGCTGCACATATCTGTAAATATACTAAAAATCATTAAATTGTATACTTTAGATAGGTGAAATGTATCTTTTTTTAAATTGTGGTACAAACATATATAACAAAACATTCACCAATTCAACAATTTTTACATGTATAATTCAGTAATATTGATTACATTGTTTATGTTGTGCAACCATTGCAATATCCTTTTCCAAATTATTTCACCACCATTAACATAACCTTTGTCCCCCTAAACATTAACTCCCCTCTCCTCCTCCCTTCCACCCCTAACCACTAATAAGTTTAGGTTTCTATATATTTGCCTGTTTTATATAAGTGAGATCATACGGTATTTGTCCTTTTGTGATTGGCTTATTTCACTCAGCATAATGTTTTTAAGGTTCATCCATGTTGTGGCATGTATCAGGACTTCATTTGTCTTTATGGCTGAGTAGTATTCCATTGCACGTATGTACCACATTTTGTTTATCCATTTAATCTACTGATGAACATTTAGGTTGTTTCCACCTTTTGGCTATTGGGGATAGTACTGCAATGAACATTGGTATGCAGCTTATAAATTATATCTTAATAAAACTGTTTAAAATATTTTCTCAAAAGGAAAGAGAGCTATGGGAAGGGGTTTATACTCACGAGCCAGAACCCACGTCCAATTGCTGTGGTACAATACCAATAATGCTTAACAATGTATCCAACTGAGATGTCATTTCATCAACTTTTTTGTCAAATCCCTCCAATTCTTCAAGAGGAATTTCAGGAAACCCCAGGAGGTTTTCCATCTTGAAAGTCCAGAAATTAAGAGAACTGATCACACTTGGAAGAACTTTGGAAATACCTACAAAAGTGAGAAAAATATTAATTTTTAGAAGTATTTCTAAGTCTACTACTTCAATACTGTGATGGTTAAGATTGTGTGTCAACTTGGCTGGGCCATGATTCTCAGTGTTTATATGTGATCACTCCCATGATGGCCTCTGCTGTGAGCAGACAATCAGTTGAAAGACAGTTTCCTCGGGGGGGTGTCACCTGCAACCGAAAATAAGCAGACATTGTGGCTTTTTATTCACTCTGGATCCTGCGGCTGTCTCCTGTTCATCTGACCTTTGGTTCTTGGGATTTGAGCTATCAGCTTATTTGCCGATCTTGGGATTTGTCAATCTTCACAGCCTGTGAGCAAGAGCCCTGCTCTCCAACCTGTCAATCTTGAGTTCGCCAGCCCCTGTGGCTATGTGAATTGAGGGAAGCCTCTATCCTGATCCACAGACTTGGGACATTCCAGCCTTTACAATCGAGTGAGCTGTTTCCTTGACATAAATCTCTCTATACATACATTTATACGCTTTACTGGTTTTGCTTCTCTAGAAAACCCAGACTAAGACATTTGGTACTGAGAATGGTTCTAGAGAAACAAAATTGTAAGAATGAGTTTTCTAAATTGGTTCTCAAGTCTGGTTAGTCTTAAAGATGTTGATGACTCTGCTTCCAGCAGTAAAGACAGCACTGCTAATCCATGGCGTGCGATAGTGACACAAATATGAAAAATATCACCACCAGTAGATCAGGTATTGGTGAAAGGCGAGGCTTGGGGTGAACATGTGTGTGATATCTTTCTACAGTTCTGTCAGAATAAGAAGTATAAGGAAGCCGGCTGGTTTGTCCTACTTTCACTAGACAAACTGGTGAAAGAAAGAGATGCGCTCAGGGCTTCAGAGTCAAAGCTCAAGTGCGGCATAAATGACCTCAAGGCTTCCACGTGTGCTTTGAAAGAAAGTTTTATTTCCTGTAGTAACAGAGCTGAAATTGCTGAAAACCAAACCCAGAGTCTTATTGTAAGAGTTGCTGAACTACAACTCCAGCTCAACTGCCAACCTCGAGAGGGCTTTGATTGGGAAGAAATGGGATCCTGAAACTTGGGATGGGGACATATGGGCAGATAATCAGGAAGCTGGAGGGACTGAGCCTCTAAAGTCCATTGAATCACTCCTGCCAACAAAACCACTCCCATCTGAAGAGATTACTTCATGTTTGCTAAACTATCCTGCCCAGAAAAACCATTAGCCCCTTCACCCCCATCTAATGAGATTAGCCCTAGTCCAGCTGCCTCTAAAGAGTCCTTGCCTGAGTCATTGCCTGGGGCATTGCCTGAGGCAGATGCTTTACAAGACAATGTTGAATGTTCTCAAAACAATCCCACACTACTGATTCTGGATTCTAGACCTATAACGAGATTTAAGTCCCAGCGAGCCCCAAAAGGCGAACTACAAAGTGTGACCCAGGAGGAGGTACACTACACTCCAAAAGAACTGCTTCAGTTTTCTAATACATACAAACAGAAACCTGGGGAATATGTGTGGGAATATATATTAAGAGTGTGGGATAATGGTGCAAGGAATATAAAGATGGGTCAGTCTGAGTTTATTGATATGGGTCCACTAAGCACAGATTGTCCATTCAGTGTTTCAGCTTGAGAAGTTAGGAAAGGGTCTAATAACTATTTGGTTGGGTTGCTGCAGCCTGGATTATGAGGTGGCCTACACTAAATCAAGATGAAGTACCAGATCTGCCTTGGTATACTGTAGAACAAAGTATCCAAAGGCTTAAGGAAATTGGCATGCTAGAGTGGATTTATCAGGTTAGACCCATAGACCCACACATGGAATACCCAGAGGACACACCTTTTACGACAACGGTGAGGAACAAATTTGTGAAGGGAGCTCCAGTATCCTTGAAGACTGCTGTGATTGCTATTTTATGTAAATAAGATTTAAAAGTGGGAACTGCCCTAACTGAATTAAGACACCTAACTACAGTGGAGCTGATTGGACTCCATGGTAGTAGGGGCCAAGTGGCCACATTCAACCAACAGAGACAAGGTGGGCATGGTTACAGTAACGGACACCAGAGTCAAAGCAGTAATCAGAAAAGTCTGACTTGTATGGACTTATGGCGTTGGCTACTTAGTCATGGTTTCCCTAGGACTGAAACAGATAAGAAATCTACTAAATATTTACTTGATCTCTACAGATCGATGAATTCTAGGTCAGATGAACAGCAGTCTAACTCAAATCATCAGAAGAGACAGTCAAGGTCCCTCAGTCAATTCCCAGATTTGAGGGAGTTTAAAGACCCACAACCACTTGAATGAAGAAGAGGCCGGGTCCCCTTGAGGAAGGACTCCAACACACTGCCAAAATTTTTCACTGTTAATCTTTCTCCCAGCTTTCCCCAAAGGGATCTACGGCCTTTTACAAGAGTGACTGCTCATTGGGGAAAAGGAAATAGTCAGACTTTTGGGGGATTACTAGATACTGGCTCTGAACTGACCTAATTCCAGGAGACCCAAAATGTCACTGTGGCCTACCAGTCAGAGTGGGGGCATATGGAGGTCAGGTTATTAATGGAGTCTTGGCTTATGTCTGTCTCACAGTAGGTCCAGTGGGTCCCCAAACCCATCCTATAGTGATTTCCCCAGTTCCAGAACACATAATTGAAATAGATATACTCAGCAACTGGCAGAACCCTCACAGTGGATCCCTGACTAATAGAGTAAGGGCTATTATGGTAGGAAAAGCCAAGTGGAAGCCATTAGAACTGCCCCTACCTATGAAAATAATAAACCAAAAGCAATGCTGCATTCCTGGAGGGATTGCAGAGATTACTGCCACCATCAAGGCCTTGAAGCATGCACGGGTGGTGATTCCCACTATATACCCATTCAACTCGCCTATTTGGCCTGTGTGAAAAACAGATGGATCTTGGAGAATGACTGGATTATCAAAAACTTAACCAGGTGGTGACTCCAGTTGCAGCTGCTGTTCCAGATGTAGTTTAATTACTTGAGCAAATTAATACATCTCCTGGTACCTCGTGTCATGGATTGAATTATGTCCCCCAAAACAAATGTGTCAACTTGGTTAGACCATGATTCCCAATATTGTGTGGTTGTCCTCCATTTTGTGATTGTAATTTTATGCTAAAGAGGATTAGGGTGGGATTGTAATACCCTTACTAAGGTCACATCCCTGATCCAATGTAAAAGGAGTTTCCTTACGGTATGGCCTGCACCAACTTTTATCTCATGACAGATAAAAGGAAAGGGAAGCCAGCAAAATGGGGGACCTCATATGACCAAGAAAGCAGTACCAGGAGCAAACCATGTCCTTTGGACCTGGGTCCCTGACCAGAGAAGCTCCTAGTCCAGGAGAACATTGATGAGAAGGCCGACGGAGAGAGAAAGACTTCCCCTGGAGCTGACACCCTGAATTTGGACTTTTAGCCTTCTTTACTGTGAGGAAATAAATTTCTCTTTGTTAAAGCCATCCACCTGTGGTATTTCTGTTATAGCAGCACTAGATGACTAAGACACCAGGTATGCAGCTATTGATCTGGCTAATGCCTTTTTCTCTATACCTGTTTTGAAGGACCATCAGAAGTAGTTTGCCTTCAGCTGGCAAGGCCAGAAATACACCTTCACTTGCCTACCTCAGGGTTACATCAACCATCCAGCCCTATGTCATAATTTGGTCCACAGGGACCTTGATCGCCTTTCCCTTCCACAAGACTTCACACTGGTCCATTACATTGATGACATTATGCTGACTGGACCTAGTAAGGAAGAAGTGTCAATGGCTCTAGACTTATTGGTAAAACATTTACATGCTAGAGGGTGGGAAATTAATCCCATAAAAATTTAGGCACCTTTCATCTCAGTTAAATTTCTAGGGGTCTAGTGGTGCGGGGCATGTTGAGATATTCCTTCTAAAATGAAGGATGCTATTGCATCTGGCTGCTCCCACAACAAAAAAGGAGGCACAATGCCTAGTGGACCTCTTTGGATTTTGGAGGCAACATATTCCTCATTTGGGTGTGCTACTCTGGCCTATTTATCAAGTGACTCAAAAATATGCTAGTTTTGAGTGGGGCCCAAACAAAACAAGGCTCTGCAACAGGTTCAGGCTGCTGTGCAAGCCACTCTGCCACTTGGGCCATATGATTCAGCTGCTTCAATGGTGCTTGAAGTGTCAGTGGCAGATAGAGATGCTGTTTGGAGTCTTTGGCAGGTCCCTATTGGTGAATAACAGTGCAGATCCTTAAGAATTTGGAGCAAAGCCCTGCCATCCTCTGCAGATAACTACTCTCCTTTAGAGTAACAGCTTTTGGCTTATTACTGGGCCTTAGTAGAGACTGAATGCTTAACCATGGGACACCAAGTCATCATGCAGCCTGAACTGCCCATCATGAACTGGGTGTTGTCTGACCCACAGAGTCATAAAGATGGAGGTGCACAGCAGCATGCCATCATTAGATGGAAGTGGTATATACGAGATCGGACCCAAGCAGGACCTAAAGGCACAAGTAAGTTGCACGAGGAAGTGGCCCAAATGCCCGTGGTCTCCACTCCTGTCACATTACCTTCCATCTCCCAGTCTGAACCTATGGCCTCTGAGGAGTTCCTTATGATCACTTGAATGAAGAAGAGAAAACTCATGCCTGCCTTATAGATGGTTCTGTGAGATGTGCAGGCACCACTCAAAAGTGGATACTGGGAGTTCCGGCAAAATGGCGCTCTAGGCAGAAGCACCATGCCATCCCTCCACAGCAAAGATCTGAAAAACTAAGCCAAACAGAGAATACAACAATCCTGAAACCCTAAAACATCAAATGAAGAGATAAAGAACTCAGCCAAGCACCAAATGGAGTGAGAAAACTGA